CCCCCCAACACACACATGCCCACACACCTATACACCCTCCCCCCACACAACCTACACACCTATACACCCTCCCCCCACACACCTATACACCCTCCCCCCACACACACCCCTACACACACACCCCACCAACACACACACACGCACCATGATCTGGCCACAAATGTCGCGGTGCTGAAGTTGAGAAACCCTGCTGATGGCACAGGGCACCACACGGCTGTTCACCAGGAGCTGAAGAGCTGCCGCCAGGGTGGGGGGTGATTTGTTTAGGGTCCTCCCCCCCACTCTTTGCTGTCATTTGGGTAAAAGTTTACAGAGTCAGTTACTTTCTCATTCAACAATTTATACACATTTTGTTTTTGTGACATTGGCTGTGGGGGGGGGTGTTTTTCTTTCCTGACCCTGGGGGTAGAGTTGGAAGCCGTGGATAGGTCAACAAGGGCAGCTGGTGCAGACATGGAGGCCAAGGGGGGAAGGAAAACCTGACAGGCAGCCAGAGAGGCGAACAACGGGGTTTTCCTGCTGTTCCGCGGGTAGAGCAGTGCCTTCTGGGGGTTTAGGCACGGAGGGCCAGGGACCAGCAGCTAGGCTACCGCGTGCAGCTGGTCGTGTGCGGGGGAGGGAAACTCATGTTGGGCCTGGTTTGTCAGAGTCCAGGTTCTGGAACCTCCCCTGCCTTACAAAGATATTCCCGTCCTAGATCAGTAACTGTTTATCTGTGTGTGTACATTTAAAACTAAATCTGATTTAAATAGGAAAAATGTTCTGAGTTGTAATTTATGTTCAGTGAAAAATCAGGTAACAGATCCTGAGGTTTTGAAACAAGTGTGGGTTTTTAACAGTTGAAAGTGCTGTGAGAGGTGCTCGGACGTCTGAGAGGTGCTCGGACGTCTGAGAGGTGCTCGGACGTGTGAGTGGTTGGAGTCGCTGCCTTGTGCTCCGTTTGGCACAGTGTGCTTGGCTTCCGGTTGGTGCCGAGATGTGGGGGGCTTCTCCCGGGAGCAGGGACCTTGACTGACTCGGGCTCTCACTCCGTCCTTGCAGCGCTCGCGTTTCGTACTTTGCCGTTTTTGACGGGCATGGGGGGATCCGAGCCTCCAAATTTGCTGCTCAGAACTTGCATCAGAACTTAATCAGGAAATTTCCTAAAGGTGAGTCTGCAAATGAAACGCACCAAGACTCATTGCGCTTTTTGCGGTCTGCTGAGTACTGTGGCTCAGTGAGACTGTCATTGTGGCTTTAGCAAAGAAGCTAACAGTTCTTAGAAGTGTGGGCTCCCGGATCCCGCAGGGCACGTGTGGCCTAGCACTGCTCACACCTGAGTGGCTGGCGCCACTCGTGCGCTGTCTGGATAGGGGCGAGCATCTTGCTTTAGCCCTAGGGTAGCCAGTGAGACGGCAGCCCTGTGCCCCAGGGAGGAAACAGACAGCTCTGTCGTGTAAGAAGCAGGTCCCAGTACTGACACGATGCGGTGGGAGGAGGGCCTGTTCCCTGCTCAGTGCTGTTCTCTCTCGGTCCTCTGGGGCAGGGGATGTAGTCAGCGTCGAGAAAACCGTGAAAAGATGTCTCCTGGACACTTTCAAGCACACGGATGAAGAGTTCCTTAAACAAGCTTCCAGCCAGTGAGTACATCAAAGGCACACGTGCTGTGACGGGGGTGCACTGCTCTTCCCACCGCACCCCGGCCTCCTGAGCAGTGTACCTGTAACGCTCCCACCTCCAAGGGACGTGCACTGAGCAGGCCCGCATCACTGTTAACCCAGAGCAGGGAAGGTCCTATCTCGGGGACGGTCCTTTTAGTGTCTGAGACACATTCCCTTTGGCTCTGGGGAGGACTCTCGGTGCTGGCCTGCCGGTGATGACCGTCTCCGCTCTCTCCCCAAGGAAGCCGGCTTGGAAAGATGGGTCCACCGCCACATGTGTTCTGGCTGTAGACAACACGCTTTACATTGCTAACCTTGGAGACAGTCGGGTATGTGTCCAGGGCCGCCCATCGGATAGCGGCAGGCTCTGTGGGAGAAGGCCAGCCTGCAGGCACGGGTTAGGGGCTGGGTACGACGAGATGACGTGCTTGTTGGCCTGTGCTCTGGGGCTGTGCTGTCCCAGTGCAGGGCCGAAGCCGGGCTCCACAGCCAGTGGCAGCCGTGTGTGGGGCAGTTGGCGCTCCGGAAAGGCCTGTGGCTTCAGGTTTCCTCCCTTCATGAGCTCTTCCAAGGGTGCTGCGGGTCAAGTCACAGTGACTTCAGACCAAGTCCAGAACTGAAGCTGGCAGTGGTGTGCCCTTTACCCACTGAGCTCAGTCCACCTAGTCAGGGGAGAAGGCCAAGGGCATTGGTCCCCATGGTCACCTCATACACCCAGCTTCCGTCCCTGCTCCCTGTCAGGTCCATTGTCAACTGCATCATCACTGCCAGCCAGCCTCCGGGCTCCTCCACAGCACAGTACTGACATTTCCTGCCCTGCAGTTGAGCAGGTCTTCAGGCTGGACGTCACTGCTCCCCGCCCTGCTGCTGCTTTTGCGGTGACGTGGTTCCGTAGCAGTAAACACCCAGACAGCAGCCCCTGTGCCAGAGGAGGTCACATTCTAGTTGACTCTCAGAGGTTCCCTTCACCGAACGGCTTCACCAGTCGCAGGAGGAAACTGGCAGAGGACCCTCTAGAGTCAGGCCCGTTTGAATCCTGGCGCTGCCAGGTCACTTTAGACAAGTTGGTGGTTTATCCCATGGCCTCAGCTTCCTCCTTCAGAAGAGATACAGTGAACCCACCTCATGGTTGGGTGAACGTGCATGCGGTGGCCTTTGGTCCCCACACCTGCGCTCGCCCTCATCTTCACTTTGTGTAGACTGAGGGGCGGGAGACAGTGCCAAAGGGGCATTGGTGCCCCTTTTGCTTCAGGGATGAGGGGCTGCAGCCCAGGCGGGAGCAGTCAGTTGGGTCCCCAGCATGGTTGGCGCTAGGTCAGGACCAAGCCCCCATGCTGGGCTCCCCGTGCTGTGCTCCGGAATGTGAGTCCTTGCTGCGAGCTGCTCAGCGGGCCCCATCCGAGTCTGACGGTGACCCCGCTCTGCAGCGGCTCCCTGAACCTCACCACGTGCTGTTGCCCCGCAGGCCATCCTCTGCCGCTACAACGAGGAGAGCCAGAAGCACGCGGCCCTGAGCCTGAGCAAAGAGCACAACCCCACGCAGTACGAGGAGCGCATGCGGATACAGAAGGCCGGGGGCAACGTCAGGTAGCGCACGGGCCCAGACGGGCCCCTCCTGTCAAGAGGCATAGACGTCACTATTGTAGGTTCACCCCTTGCTGTTGTCTCAGAGCCCAGGAGCCTTGGTTAACACCATCTTTGAGGACAGCTGAAGAAGCCTCAGTTTGTGAGGTTCTCCCAAGAGAACCCACTCGAGGTGGTGAAGGCAGTGAGGGTCCGGACGGTGCTGACCTCTTCTAGGCCCCTGGGGCTGCCCTGGTGCAGAGGCCACTCTGACTGGGGCCGTCTTCAGTCTTTGGAGACCGTGCTCCTCTCCTGGCCTGGTGCCTGCTGGTGCTCCACGCAGTGAAGAAGGGCTTTGGTCTTGCTCGGTTCAGGGGAATCCCACTTCCAGGGTGGCGCACTGTCACTTGGTCAGGAGTGTTTTCTCCTGGGGAGCAGCGTCCGTCCAGGCTTCTGATCGATTACGCGGTGATTCCATCTCGGCCGTGGCTGTCAGTGTGAGCAGCAATGGCGTCATTGGCTTGGTTTCAGCCCATGGGCCATGCTCTTGGCATCGTTTTTGTCACTGTGAGCACTGTTCAGCACCGTGTAAGTCGGTGCCTTAGGATGTCGCCATGACTGTAGGGCTGGTATCCCTTTGTTCCTTCTCATCACTCTAGCATTCCACTTTTTTCAAAAGAGATTGATTGCTAGTCCTGTGAGTGTAATCAGGCTCCACTGTGTGGCAGTCCTTCCTGGGTCCCAGGTCCCTCCTCAAGAGGAGCAGTGCTAGGTGCTGACGGGGCGTGGGTCAGCCCCGGGTGTGGCAGTTCTTCCTGGGTCCCTTCTCATGACAGCAGTGTCAGGTGCCTTGGTGTACCATCTGATGGGGCATGGGTCGGCCCCTCGCTCAGCAGTGAGCAGTGGAAGCACTCCCAGGTGTGCACCTGGGTCCAGCAGTGCCGCCGGTGCCGTTTGCTGTCCGTGTGCGCACGTCAGCACAGGCTCTGGGAGTTACTGCAGACGCAATGTGTCGCCCTCCACACGGAAGTGGGCGCCTGGAGAGGAGGACCTTCCCATGTGCTCAGCCACCCACCACGGTCACACCTAGGCAAACGGCTTCTTAGGCCGTATTAGATTGTCTAGAGCATGTCCCCGCTGTCCCCACAGGGTCTTGGCCGTGAGCAGTCACAATGTGTGTTTGGTCCTCCCTGTTCCTCCATCATTTTCTAGACCCTGACCGCTCCCTTAGCCCACAGCTCCTGGGCAGACCCTACCTGAGGAATTCTGGGCTTGGCTGTGTGTTCGTTGGGTCATTGGGTTGCTTCTCTTCCCTGTCTCTCCTGTAAACTGTAAGTCAGGTCTGAAGGCTGCTTTAGATTCAGGTGGAACGTTTTTGGAGACGTAGATGGGGGGTGCTGTGTGCTTGATTGCCCCTCACAGCAGACCCATGAGGTCCTGCTGCAAACACTGGACCCGTCACTTGGCTGCGGTGGGTGCAGCCAGGTCTGCAGCGTGGAGGTGCCTGTTTGCCCCCGTCATCACGAGTGATGGTGACCCTGTGGCTGTCCTGTCCCCAGCCCTTCAGCCAGTGGTGTGGGCGTCCCTCTGTGGCCATGCCCATCTCGGTCGTTTTGGTGGGTGGCAGAGGGGGGTTCAGTTTTCAGCCCTTCACCTGCTCACGGGCATGCTCTTCCCAACGGCCTTCTCCTCCAGAAACGCAGGAGGAAGGGACCCGTGCCTTTACTAGCAGCCTACAAAAAGCAAACCAAGACACCCACTGCCATCGAGGCCATTTCAAATCCTAGCAACCCCCAGAGGGTTTCCAGGGCTGTCGATCTCTGTGGAAGTAGAGTCTCATCTTCTTCCCGTGGAGCAGCTGGGGGGTTTGAACTGCTGACCTTCTGGTTAGCAGCCAATGCCTTACCCACTGTGTTACCAAACCAAAAAAACAAAACTCTCTGCTGTCGAGTCGGATCCTACTCATAGCGACCCCTCCTTGGGTTTCCGAGGCTGTATCACTGTGGAAGTAATGATTGCCCAACCTTCCCTCCCAGGAGTGGCTGGTGGGTTTGAAGTGCCATCCTTCTGGTTAGCAGTTAAGTGCCTTAGGTGCTATGCTATCAGTTTGTTTCTTTCACTCGTCTGTCCCTAGAGCCCCACCTTGTGGTCACTGGGGACATGGCATTGCAGTGCCTTGGCTGCTCACCTCACCCTGGTCTGGCCAGTGGGTGCTCTAGCTGACTTGCATGCCCTGTGACACTTCTGGGGTGATTTCTAAGAGCCAGGGGCATATGCTGGGGATGCCCATTTCAGTGGGGTGGCCTTCCTTCTCAGTCCTCCACGTGGCAGCGCCGTGTGCAGGAGCTGTCGGGGACTCGCTCTGGTGACCGAGGGATGCTACACAGGAGACTTAGCTCTCCACATGGCAGCGCTGGCTCAGAGACTGTGTGGGACATGCGTGTGCACGTATGTGCACGCTTCAGATCATGAACAATTGTAAGGTCGCTGTTTCCTGTTCAAAGTTAACCTTGCAGAGCTGTTTCTTGACTTAATGTTATAAACCAGCTGTGGCCAAGTCTGCTCCAACTCCCGGTAAACCCGTGTATGTCAGAGAAGGGCTGTGCTCCACGGGGTTGCCAGTGTGGCTGGGTTTTCAGAAGCCGGTGGCCAGCTCTTTCTTCTGTGGTGCCTCTACGTGGACTCCAACCTGCAACCTTTGGGTTAGTGACTGGGTGTCTAACTGCTGGCACCACCCCAGGGACTTGTAGCTTAGGAAGACAGCAGAAGCGGTTGCCCCTACTCAGCCACATCCTCGTATTTGCCGTGACAGCTTGAACCTTATTAGCGCGACCGTGTTGTGGGTTAGGAGTCTCGCAGCTCTTCTTCCATCTGGAGTGCCCGTCGTTGCAGACGGACCGTCAGCAGCGTGGACTCTGCGTGTCACCCTGCTGGTGATTGGGTCTTTTTCCTTGTGTGCTTGATTTTAGTTTTTTTTTCCCCCTCAAAAAATCTTTACAGTGAAAAACCTAAGTGAAATGAAAGATGTATTTGGACCTGTCCTTCCCAGGGAAAGCCGTCTTGTTTGGTCCCACAAAGAAGGCAGCGGGCAGATGCGGGCTCCCACACAGGAGCACTTAGAGCTCCATGTGGCAGTGCCGTGTCCAGGAGCTGTCGGGGACACGCTCTGATGACTGAGGCATGACGTTCAGAAATCTCCCATCTGTCATTCCTGGAGCACCCACATCATTATGCTCTGGACCAGGTGCTGGCCATTCTACCATTGGGTGAAAGACAGCACCTCACAGGTGCTGTGAAGGCCAGGCCCATTGCCTCCAAGAAGGTGCTTGGCAGCCAAGGAGCTCCCATCACGGGATCTCCTCCACACACCTCAGAGCGTCCCCTCCTGACCTGGGAGCACTGTCACAACGGGTGACCTCTGTACTGAGTGCTCCCCCAAACCGTCTGGGGCCTCGAAGGCACTGTGGGTCTCTTCCTTTCCTTATTACATATGTGGGTGGGGCCTGGGAGGCTGTGGCTGCCCAAGGATACATGGGTGGGGAAATCCAGTACTAGTCACTCTTGGGGGCTTCAAGCCAGTGCTGGCTCCTGGTCACAGCTGTCTTGTGACAATATCCCTGCCCCATCTCTTCCCAGTCCTGTTATCCAAAATCAGGATGTGTAAATTTTGATGCTGTGAGAATCTTCCCATTCACGTCAAGTCACACCCACACCTGCTGTAAAGGAAATAGTCCAGGTCTGGGCCTCGTCACTCCTGGGCACTGTCCTGCCCTCAGGAGACTGGGCTGCAGACACCCTCTCCGCCCACCAATCTTAACCCTGGCTGCAGGCTTGAATCCCAGGTTGCTTTGAGATGAGAGACAAAGCACAGCAAAAAGCAGTGCCCGGTTGCCACCCAGGATACCCTGGTCTGAAGCGCTGGGCTTGAGGACCGGGAGCCAGTGTCACCCTCCAGGGATGTGTGCAGCCACAGTGCGAGGGCCTGGAGCCAGGTGTGCCCTCCAGTGATGGGAACCAGTGCTGGCCTCAGACGAGGGGCCGGGGGAGTGCTGCCGCGGGCACTGCCCATCAGTTGGGGCCCCTGGTGTCCAGCCCCAGTGCCAGGGCCTGGAGCCAAGCAGACAGCACGGGACCTGGGTGTGTCTCTGGAGAGCGGCCGAGGCAGAAAGGGCAGCTCTGGCCCACAATGGTGCCCCACCGGCCGCACCTGCCCTCCGTCCCGCCTCTCCTTCAGGGCCGCCTCATGCTGTGGCTCACAGGCAGCCAGCGGAGGCTGAGTGTGCTCTCGTCGTAGGGATGGGCGTGTCTTGGGTGTGCTGGAAGTGTCGCGCTCCATCGGGGACGGGCAGTACAAGCGTTGTGGAGTCACCTCTGTGCCTGACATCAGACGTTGCCAGCTAACCCCCAACGACAGGTGAGTCCTGCAGGGGCACGGGGGCACACACGGCCTTGCTGCCTGACTAGTTCCTGCTTGTGTGGCAGACCTCGGGGGGAGGGGTGTCGGCCCTGGGAGCAGAGGTCAGAATTTTGTCTCCCATGTGTAGTCACATGTAGGGGAGCCCATGTGTCGTTCCAATCCAGCGTGTGCCCTTAGGGGTGCTCCAGGAGGCTGTGGGGGAACTTGCCTTGGGCTTCCAGGCAGAGAAGCACACACATGGCCAGTCAGGTGCTGGGGGGTAGAGGTGACAGGCTTTGGGGACAGTTTGTGGAGGGCCCTGTGGAGAAGCGTGAGGGTTTGTCAGCACAGCCAAGATGGGGGGTGAGGGGGGTTAGGTGGAGACAGCGTAGCTGCCAACGCTGAACTTGTCTGAAGATGAGGTCCAGGCCACCAAAGAGTAGGTTTTGAGGGGCCAGGGAGACCCACTGGGGGGAGTTGAGGCAGAGATGAGACTGGAAGGGGCTGAGGGGAACAGGACTCGGGACGAACTGGGAACTCAGGGCAACAGGACTTGGGATGGAGAATGGGGACCTCAGGGCAGTGGGACTTAGGGCAGAGAACAGGGGGTACCCAGGAACCGGACTTGGGGACAGAGAGCGGGGTGGGCAAGGACAGGACTCAGGACAGAGAAGGGGGGGCTCGGGGCAGTGGGCCTCGGACAGAGAACAGAGGGAGCCCAGGAATGGGACTGGGGACAGTTGATACGGGGGTGAGAAGGGTCTGTTGACCACTGCAACTGAGCACTCCTTCCCAAGGGGGACTGCAGCCCCAGCTTCAGTGGTGGGGACAGACGCACACAGGCCCCCTGCCCGCCCCTTGGGCTTTCTCATGCCTTGTCCCCTCTGGCCTGCATCTCCTGGTTCTCTGAAGGCTGCCTCAGGAAGTCTTCTGAACCCTAGTCTAGACTTGGCCCTCAATTAATAGTGGGGTACACGGTTCCATGCCGTGTGCTAAGCTGCTCCGGGCCTGGCCCACTGGGTCCCACACAGGCCTGTGCTCAGGCAGAGGGGAGCAGAAACCAGGAATGTGGAGAGAAGGTGGCCACGTCTAATGCAGCCTGTCTCCAAGGCCTCCCTCCAGAGGCTGGGCGCAGGGATGTTGAAGGGGGGAATCCCGCGTTCTCGGACCACAGCACCGGGTGGTGGTTGCCCTGCAGCGCGTGCACGCTCAGGGAGGCCGCTCTGGGCTGCACCTGGCGGTGGCTCAAGGGCCATAATGGGTTAATCCGGGTGCATGGAGCAGAACCTGGGGTTTTCTGCCTTTGTTCCCCAGGGCTCTCAGAGTTGGTGAGAGCAGACCTGTGTCCCTGGGGAAGGCAGGGGGCTTGTAATGCTGTCCCATGTGTCCATGTGCCACAGGTGTTTTTCAAGTTTCAGTCTGTCTCCTGGACATTAGGCTGATTTAAAAGTCTGTTGTAACAACAAGAAGAAGCCTTGAATAGTTGGATGGTGGTGACACTGTACCACCAGGCTGTTTCCTTCTTGCTGTTCAGACCCTCTCTGCTCCCCTCGTAGGTTCATCTTGCTGGCTTGTGATGGCCTCTTCAAGGTCTTCACCCCAGAAGAAGCCGTGAACTTCATCCTGTCCTGCCTTGAGGTGAGAAGCTCCTGAGGGAATGCCATGTCCCCTCGCCACCTTACTGTTTGGCGCAGTGGTGGCCCCGTGACCCTGTCCCTCTGTGGTCACCTGGTTGGTGGAGGGAGGTCCCCATGCCTTTACACCAGTCTCACGTACATGGACATGTCGCTGTCCGCTCCGCCTGCTCGAGGCACCTGCGTGGTTCCTGCTCTTGGTAGTAGAGTCCCAGGAGTGTCACTAGGGTGCAGGGTCACCCTGTCAGGTGTGCCCCTCCTGTCTGGCAGGATGACAAGATCCAGACCCGGGAAGGGAAGCCAACTGTGGACGCCCGCTACGAAGCAGCCTGCAACCGGCTGGCCAGCAAGGCTGTGCAGCGGGGCTCGGCAGACAACGTGACGGTCATGTTGGTGCGTGTTGGGCAGTGAAGGCCGCACGTAGGTGCTGGAGGTCACTGTGACGTCTGTGTGCACCTCTGGGACCCCATGGTTGTAAATAAAGGTTTTGTTTTGTTTTTTTTCCTAGTCTCTCAAGTTCTCTTGTGTTGGCAGCACACCTGATGCCGTGTGCGCTCTGGGCTCTCCTGTTGGAGCTTGGCAGACCCTTGGCCTGAGCTGTCCGTCCTCATGACGACCCCAGGTGGGGGGTGGTCACCCCGTTTACTGGAGGGGATGGTGGCTCTGACAGGTGAAGACCAGGCTAGGACTAGTGCGCAGTCTGCCATCTTTCCAGAAGAAGAAAAAGTTCTAAGTTCCCATGGCGTGAATCCAGGTTCGTCCAAGACCAGGGACTCGGAGCCTGGGTTGCTTGGGTAGAGCCAGGTGCCCATCAGCTCTTCAATACAGCAGGGGGACCGTGGGCTCTGGGTGACAGGCGTGAGCTGGGGGGTGGTCTGGAGAGCGAGGTCCCTGGGGCGTGACACACTTGGGGGGCTACTCAGCACAGCCCTGCTTCAGCTTCCTCTTCAGAAGTTGGCTGTGGGCTGGTCCAGCTGTGGCCCGAAGGGCAAAGGCAGCAGGTACGTGTCCAGCTGGCCAGGAACCCACGTTGCAGGACCTCCCTTGTGCCCCTTTGGGATGCACCCTCACCATCCCTGCGGCTGGCTTCTGGAAGCAGCTCAGAGAACTCTGGGGGTGAACGTTTGGCTCAGGGGAACCAGGGGCCCTACCATTGCCCGGCCCCCACCCAGCACACACCGTCCAGCAGTCGAGCTCCTGGGGTTTGAATCCAGCCACCAGTCCCTCAGAGCACACTGCAGGCTCTTCCTGGGGATCTGCTGTGGGGAGGCCAGGAATGGAAACGTGGAGACAGTGAAAAGGGGTTGGTGTGTGCGCACCGAGCAAGTGCTGAGGGAGGGGCTGGGTGTCAATGAAGAAAAAGCTGAGAATTCAGGCATGGGGCTAGCAGGGTCTTCCCAGTGTTGGGGTGCATGACGCCCACCTTGGGGTCCCTGGGACCCTTCAAGGCCTAAAAGTTGGTCAGACACGTCCTTGCCGCCTCGGCCACGTCCTCTGCTGCACCTGGACGGTCCAGGGCTCGGCCGCTGCTCGTGCTGCACCTTAGTGTGACTGCGGGACAGAACTCAAGTACTCGAAGCGCCTCCCAAGGTCGGTTACATGAATGTATTCCGTCTGCCAATACCATACAATAAATATTTCAACAAACTGCTAGGGAACATACACTTATGCTGAGAGAGATACATAGCGTTTTCAAGGGAAAAAGATAACTTCTCTAAAATGTGTCCCTCGGATACAAAGTAAAATCCGCGGAGGGTGGATCCCTGCCCTTATCAGTCGCCAAGGCGCATCCAGACCCCGGGCCAGCGGCTTCCTGGTAGGGTGGGGGCCGGTCCTACTGGGAACCCAGAGGCTGGTGGCTGGAGTGTTTGTGCTGCTCTGTGGCCCCCCTGGCTTGGCGGGAGATGCTGGGCTCTGGGGTGTGCTGGCCACTCCCCCTGGGGGCATCTCTTACCCTGAAGCCAGCTAGAACGTTAAGGTGACTGTGGCCACAACCCCTGCACGCTCCTCCTCTAGTCACATGGCTGACCGTGTGGCCCGAGGAGGGCCTGTGGTGATAACATCCCTTGGAGCCAAAGGGGAGGAGCAGTGGGGCCTCAGGAAAGCTCCCTCCCCTTGATCAGGGCCCTGAGAGAAGGCTGCCTCATTGTTCACACCCCGCCCTGGGGCAGTGCTGCACCTTGGAAGCCACACCCTGGTAGGCTGCACCCCTGCCTCCTGGGAACTCTCCAGGTGCCATCTCCTGGCACGTTCTCCCCTTGTCTGCCGTGTGGCCAGCTGCCGGGAGCTCGGGGCAGCCTCTGCATCTCTGGCCACAGGACCACGATCCACCTGAGTGGATGATCCGTCTGCTGGGCTGTTTCTGCCTGTCAGAAGGGGACAGGGAGGGCCGGCCTCTGGAGGGGGTTGGAGCTGGCCTTGTCCTTTGGAGGACTTGCTGGGGGGCAGGTGTGGCCTGTCTGCCAGGTGACCTGCCCTCATCCCTAGTGATGCCAGACCCAGACTTGCCACCCACTTGGCAGCCCCTTTCCAGCACCCTCTGTCCCAAGGCTGCTGTGCTGGGGACCCATGGTCACCACAGGCCAAGCAACGTCCCAAGGGCCACGGGCAGGCAGAGGGGCAGCTGGGGAGGGACAGGTGAGGCTGGACCCCAGATGGTGACAAAGGTGAGAAAGGCAGAGCCAGTCTGAGCTCGGAGACCTCCAGGCAGGCCAACAGGCCTCCACACGTGCTCCCTGGACCCACTGGAATGGCAGGAAAGATGGCCAAGGGGCTGGGTGGGCCACAGGACAGACACGGAGGCCCCCTGACAGACTACTGCAGTGGCTGTGGGGACAGCAGCCCTGATGGGTCTCCCCCTACTTGTGACCGTGGCCATGCCCACGCCAACGCTGTCCAGGAAGTGGCTCGCTCTGTCCGGTAGGGTAGGGCCGGCAGTGGCCACTCACAGGCCGAGGAGAACTGCGCTGAAGCGGGAGCCGCCACGCACCGTGAGGGAGGAGCCGCTGGCATTGTCCAGGAAGACCGAGGCATACTGCCCGGGCTGCAGGGGAGGCAAGCGACGGCAGGGCCTCAGGCTGGCCGCCCCCCAGCCCCGCCCGCTCAGTGCTCTGCAGAGAGCTGCACGAGCAGGGGCTGGCGGGGCTGGACTCCAGCCCAGCTCTTCGGACAAGTAATCCTCTATCTTCAGAAGGGGACAGGGACAGCCTGGGCGTGGAGTGCTGCCCCAGGACTGGCACTCGGCCTCACAGCTCGGTGGGCCGGCACTGGTCCCCCGCAGGGCTGCATCAACCAGGTTCCTGGGGGCTCGGGAAGCATGGGTCGCAGTTCCCTGGACAAGACCCCCAAGGACCTCTCAGCCACCACAGTAGACTGTGTGTGACAGCTGTGTGACCCTGCGCAGTCATGTACCCTCTCTGTGCCTTGAGCGTCATCTATAAAGCATTGCTGGGGTAGTCGGTGCTACTTAGGCCTGCGCTGTTTTTCTTTCAGCAAACCCCGTCAGTAAACGCGAGTCTCTACCACGTGCCAAACCCCTCCTGTGCTCCTCCTCAGAGTGGCTGCCCGTTCTAAGCCCCTCAGCATGGCACTGGGCAAGGGACGCTCAGGCTTTTGAACACTGGAGACTGCAGTGGAGTGGCTGCTGAAAAGGGGGGGTGGCCCCAGGGCACCAGGCCAGGCCAGAGCTAGCACCTGGCGACCCCGACCTCTCCTGGGCCTCTGAAGTGAGCATCCCAGCAACCCCTGCCGGCGACCGTGCCCAGGTAGGGCCCCTCCGTGCCAAGCCCCACGCACCTGCAGGTACAGAATGCCATTGACAGCGATGGTGAAGAGGTCACTGGTGCGTTCCAGCCCCACGACAGCCTCCAGGGAGCTGTGGCGGGAAGAAATCCTGGTCAGTCCAAGCCCGGGTGCCCCAGCACCTGCTCAGGACGGCCAAGTCTAGTTCACGGCAGCCTGGGCTGCACCTGCGCTCCAGAGACCCTCAGCCTCTCCACCACGTGCCCCTCACATTCCCAAAGCCCACAGCGCCGTGGGGACACTGGTTCTGGCGGTGTTCCCGTGGGGGGTGTCGGAGCCAGGGCCTGAGGGGCAGTGGGCACAGCAGGGCAGGGGAGGCACGCCAAGGCCAGCTGCAGCTGCGCCCTACGCTGGGCACTGGCGGGGGCCAGGGAGCAGCAACCTACAGAGGGCGTGTAACAGCCCAGGGCTCCAGGGCGGGCCAGGGAGGTCTGCACCATCCATCATTCCTCCCACAGCACGTGCTCTCTGCTGCGCTGGGTGCTGGGGACACAGGGATGTGACAGGGTGCCTGTCCTCATGGAGCTCATGAGGTGCGGCCCAAGTGGATGGAGGCACAGAGTCAAGAAATGGCTGGGTGCTCCCCAAACCCCCAGGTGTATCGCAGAGCTGACGAAAGACAAGACTGTGGTGACTTGCTGCCCACAGCCAGCTACCCAGAGGGAGGGAGTCATTGGACGGGTGGGCTCGGGACTATAGTTGTAGGGGACATCAAGCTCAACTGGCACAACACCCTACACGAAAACATCGTTCCACAGCCTCCTTTGGTGTGTAGCAACTGGGATCTTAAAAGCTTGCAAGTGGCTATCTAGATGTAATGATGGGTCAGGTCTCTCCTGGTCCAGAGTAAAGAATGAAAACCAAAGACGCATGGAAACAATTAGCCCAAGGGACTGGCAAACCATGCAGTCCTCAGTCTACATGACCATGAGACCAGAAGAACTAGATGGTGTCCGGCTACCACTGTCAACCACTTGGAGAGGGATCTATGTAGGAGATCCCAAATAGAGTGGGAACAATGTGGAACAAAACTCAGAATCACAAAAAACAAAACAACAACAACAAAAAAACACACCAGTTTGCTGGTCTGATGGAGCCTGGTGGAAACCCTGAGACTATGGCCCCTAGCTGCCCTTCAAGTCTGGAACTGAACTCACACCTGTGGCTTCCAGCTAAACAAAAGACAGGCATATGAACTGAACATTTACATTAGATAGATACACTCCTTGGAAAGAACAAAGATGGGAGAATGGAAGGGCTGTGTGTGCACAGGGAGACAGCTCCGGGCAGGAGTGCATGAAGGGAAGGACACAGGGAAGAGGTGACTACGGGGAGGAAGTGGGAGGGGAGCTGTTGCATTGAAGGAAATTGCAGTCAATGTCTTGAGACAAAATGTGTATGAACTGCTGTAGGGAAAACGAACTTGCTCTGTAAACTTCAAAAACAAATCACAATAAAAATTGAAAAAAAAAAGTGGTTGTGTGGTGAGAAAGTGCACAGGTATGGTGGCACTCAGTGGCAATGGGGTGACCTCCTGCAGAGGATGCTGGTGCCTGAGGCCATCTGGAGGGGGAGGAAGGAGGCTGGGGCCAGGCTAGGAAGGACCAGGCCTCTCAGGTCCCCAGAAGTTGGGGGGCACCAACAAGGGGTCTCTGAGAGTCCCCTGGCGTCTGTGAAGGCAGGCTGTAGTGGACGGGAGGCCAGGAAGGTGTTGGGCACCTGGGCCACAGTGGTGGCCGGGATGGGGGGAGGTGGGGGATTCGGGTCTTTTCAAAAGCACAGGACAGGGTAAAGGGGAGGTCGACAGGCAGGCTCCGGAGAATGGGCAATGCTTGCCCTCTGGGTGACCAGGCCGGGAGGGTCTTTGGGGGTGGGGGTGCATGGGAAGCCATTCCCCACTCACACGTGGCGCTGGCACAGGGACTGGATACAGACGAGCAGGCGCAGGTGGTCCCGGGCGCGCGGTAGCCCCCGCCTCGGCGGATCAGCAAGTGCTATGGGGAACAGGGTCACGGACGCAGTGTCAGGGGGCGCCGGGCTGTCGGGAGCCGCAGGGACTGGGACGTGGTCCGAGGGGGCGTGGTCCAACGAACAACTGTGTGGTCGGAGGGGCGGGGTGTGGTCCACGGACTGGGGCGGGGCCTAGCCCGAGGAGTGGGAGTGGGCGGGGTCCCGGGCGAGGCGGGATCAGAGCAGTGGACTGGGGCGGGGCAGAGTCCCGGGCTAGGCGGGATCCAGCCGCGCGCCCCCACCCCCGCAGCGGGCCTCACCCACGTGCAGCGCTGCCGCGAAGGCGTACAAGCCGGCCACGGGCGCCGTGTACTGGCCGCTGGTCAGATTCAGGCCGGGGCCGCGGCAGAAGGCGCCCTCGGCGTCAGGCTGCGGGGACAGGGGCCAGTCAGCCGGATCCCCGGCCCCCGGCCCGCCCCCTGCCCCGCGGACTCACCACGTGGTAGAGGCCGAGCTCGTGCAGCGAGCGCCGCTCCACCGGCGTGTCGTGGCGCAGGCGGCAGTGGAAGGCGGCGTCGACG